TTAGCGAAGAGTTATGTCAATGTATCTGTATGCATTATTCGATTTATTTTATTTCAGCTTGTCGTTTAAGGTGAATGGCAGTTGCTTGATATCCCCGGTGTGTCTGCGCTTGATGTGCATGTTGACAAGGTGCCTACCTGTCTATTACCCACTACATCGTTCATACTGGCTCCAGGAGACAGTTGGTCGTTGCTGGAGGGGACGGGGTGCACGGTCATTGTGGTCGTGCTAGACTCGAAGAATAGTTCCATGCACTCAGTGTGGAGCGGACTAAGGTCCAGCCACCACCTTGTGTGCGGTTGATTCCCCAAATACAGTGTGCTTGTGTTTGCCTGTGAAGGAGTGTGGGCCGGCTCCGCTAATGAAACGTGGCTCCCATCCACATACCTCTCGGTCTTATTCCTTCGGGTTTACACTGGATATGGGGTGTGTGGATGGAGCTGTGAGTGGTGCAGCGCAAGCCACCCATGGTCCATCTGTAGGCGCAGGCGTTCTGTGGCTTGCCACAGTGACAGGCAAATCCGGAAGCGGATGCCACCAACCCGATATATATATATATATATATATATATATATATATATATATATATGCAGTGCTGGTAAGGTAAAAGTTGTGGTTAGCGCACAGTCGCAGAATTCGATCGCCATTGGCTGTTACGCGTGCATGGAAACCGAAGCGGTCGCCCAGCGTTTGTTCGTAGTCTAAAGGACGACGCACTTGGGCATTCATGTCACCAAAAACAGACACCATCAGTATTCTTCGCCATCCGATGGAAAGATGAGAGCTGTCGACAGAAGTCATCTTTTATACCCTCCGAGTTGAAGCCAGTAGTAGCATAAACAGAGGCGATTAAAAGTTACCTGATCTTCATACTGTGTTTATTTACCTCAATAGAGGTTCGAAGTAGAACCGCACACATGCGCTGTTCACCGGTATCCAGTGGAGAAGATTGCCTCCAGCGTGTTTGCCGAGAACAATACCAGCACCATAAATATCTTGTGCCATTGATTCATTATCGCCAGATGTGAAATGAGACTCGTGGTTTGATGAACGAATTACAAGTAGCAAGGTCAGTGGCAGATTTTTGCTCAATAGACGGGGAAGAAGAGAGTTGAAAAGGGATAGGCAAATAATAAGAAGGAGAAGTGTCGACGTGGTCGAGAGGACAGATGATACTCTCTGGCTGTCCATTCTGAGAGAGGGGTTTTATTGGAGGTGCCCAACTTCTAACCTTTGACTCAACAGTCCGACCCACAAGGCAGTGGGGGATGCGGACATTCTCTTGAGGGACTAAACTCGGATCCTTGGGCTCAATAGTCTGGCCCACAAGTCAGTGGGGAGCAAGTCCTGCTCTGCAGTGTGACTGCAGGGACCAGCTGGGATCCGCCCGAGGCCTGCCATACACAGCGTTTGATGATTTGGAACAATGCACATGTGTTTCATGACTGTATTACGTTACGCACAGGATACCACGGCCAGCCGCAGGTGAGAGTTGGCGGGTTTGCACCAATTTGACCAGGGGCTGCCTGGCTTGAAGCGGGCGGCAGAAAGCCATTGAGCACCGGAAAGTGCTCTCTTACAATCAGAGACAATGTATGGCGCTCGTGCTCTACTCAAATCGAGCTATGAGCCTATAACCCGCAAACCTGTTGTCTGCAATGTCTAGGTTTTAGTGGAAGGGGGCCATCGACCTCTCGCTAACCCCCGAAGAGGATTGGATTGTGAGACTGAGTTAGTCTGACTACTAAGCATTGACCAGTCTTGTATGAGTGGCTCTGTAGACACATGGAAAGTGACACCCAGCGTAGCTCAATAGGGTCACGGAGGTGCGCATACCACTGCACCACGTTAAAGTCCAGTTTCGTTGCGATGGATTATCATATGTATTGACACACTCGCTCCCACTGTGTATTGACACCTTCCACATAGGAACAAAATGCATAAGTCACGTAAAACAGCCATAAAGCTGAAGACGTTGATAACAGCCTACCGTAAAACAAATGACTTGTCCTTCTTGATACCACACCACAAGTTGACCACAGCTCTACGGCTGGCATGTCACCCCAAATGGATAGCTGAAGAAAAACGAGTCCACTGCAGCCAGTGTAAAATACCGTGAACTAATCAGCCTTTCAAAGTGCATGAATACCAAACGGAATCAGGACACGATCTCGCTGATTGCAGTAGATAACCGCATAATAACTGACCCTGCCCACACAAGTGAAATATTTAGTCAGTAGTTATGAGCCTCTTTTAACGTGGATAATAAGCGTCCAAGACTAGACATACCCCAACCACAGTTGATCAACCTGCCTATGTCAAGTTTGAACTCCGTGAGGTACATAAGGACAAAAAATGCACAAATAATGTACCACATAATGTAACTGCTGTACTTAGCAAACTGGGAGGTGTCGACATACCCTTGCTGCCACTGAAAATGCTCATTACATCCATGACCTCTGGCACCGTACCAACACAGTGGAAGGAAGTAATTATCATACCAAGCCAAAGAATTATCATATATCAATTTTAATCAAAAATGGGGGAGCGACATATAAGAGGTAAAACGGTCGACTTCTTATTGTCACGCAAGTTAATCAACGACTCAGAACGGTTTTCTGAATACCCGTTTATGCATAACCGGTCAAGTTGAATTCCTACATCATTTAACTGCCTCAAAGGACAACGGTATGTCTGCAACTGTCATGTAACTCAATATGCACAAAGCTTTTGATCGTGTGTCACACTGAAAACTAGCATCCAAAATGATGTCGTAAGGAATCAGGGAACCCCTGCTTTTGTGGTTCAAATCGTATCATACAGATGGAACGTAGATTTAAGAAATTTAAACCAACAGCTGTCACAAGTGGTGTAGTACACGGTAGTGTACTTGGCTTTCTAGTGTTCATGTTTATGTTAACGATATCTTTGATGCATTGAAATATGAAATATCATATTTTCCGACGATTTCAAAATTGTCTACACCTTTCACCCTGCTACCATAAACGAAACTAGCAACAAGAACCAGCTCGACCTCTACGTTCTTGGAACATGGTGCACAAAGTGGGGAATGTTATTCACGACAGATAAGTGTTGCGTAATAACTTACAAGTGCGACATAATATCTAGCGGTCTGACCATTTGTGACAAGTCAATTGATGAAGGCCACACTGTACGGGACCTGGGGGTGAGATAATCACGCAGGCAAAACTTCGCCGAAAAGTGGCTCACGTCATCGCGAAGGTTGGACAGAGCATCTGAATATTGTTTAGAACACTTAAATTAAAAAATATCTATATACTGTGTGCCTATTCATCACTTTCTCGTCCCCTAATGGAATACTGCTCAATGGTGCAAAGTAGCACAAACAAACGCGATCGCATTATATGATCACCATTATACAACTCACGAAACGAGGCAACTTATGTGGTGGAGTACAGGTCGAAGACCGCTGGATCCGCCAACGTTCTCATTAACATAAAAGAAGCTGGAACAAACTGCCAACTGAAAAATGTGCTCGCAATTCAGAGCACAGATTTCGCATAAGGACTAGCAAATAGTTGACCGTGTAAAACAGTGGGGCGTCACATAACAAGTAGCCAAGCATAAGAACAAGGCCAGCAGTCATATGACCCAGAAAACAGTCTATCACAGAGAGTGCATATTGCAGTGCACTCATCGCCCTCATCTTATTTTTTTCCATCTACACGGCTATACCAACCATAGTTATCAACGAGGGTGTACAGAGAGAAAATCAAATGAACATACCTCCAGATTCTACGTCTTCTTTGTCAATATTCCCATCACTCTTATTGTAATTTACTCGTACATTTCCCTTTTTACAGACGCCTCTCTTGCTCCAGTATCACGTGGGTGCCACAACCAACATGCGATAGTACTGAATAGCCTTGAGTAGAGCAAGTGTCACAATGTGTTTAAAAAAGTATTCACACTTTACATTTGTGTTATATCCATTTTCCTATTACCCAAAATCATCTTTAAAGCTTTCCGAATTCGTAATTTCAGGGAGCCTACCAATCCAGATATAGACATCCTGTGCAACATCAGATAATACATTGGAACAATTAACTTATCGCCTTGGCAAAAGTGAAAATCTATTTGCATTGCTGTTGCGCAATTTCCGATCATTAGTGGTCGTTGTAATAGAAAATGCTTCTGTTTACCTGAACATGCTGTCGCATGCGTCTCGCTGAAAACGAGAATATACAATGTATGCATTAATTATTTAAGAGAAACTGGCACAGGCACCTGAAAGCAGGAGAGGTCTTACTCTACTGTCACCGCCTCATGTGTTTACCAGCTTAACTGTACTTGCGGTAGCATGTACATTGGCTGGACAGATAGGTTGTCCACTCAGATTTCAGAACACGTTCCGAGGGATCTTGCTCTCAGTGGCGCAACATTACTTGCTAGCTCCGTTGCCCGACACTTATTCGACTGCTCGATGTGCCAGAATCCCCGCGAAGCATTAAAGTTCATCAACAGACAGAGCAACTTTAAGTTATTGCGTTTTGCTGAGGCTTCCGCCATCCGGCGTTTGAAGCCTGACCTATGCAAACAACTTAAGTTTGTGGCCAAGCTTGCTTGGTCTTGGCGAGGTAAGGCAACGCAACTACCCATCGATTTTTGGCATTGATCTATTACTCTCAACCGTAAGCGGCTGAAGAGAATACACTAACTATACTAAATTCAGATTATTCCGCAGAAATGTTCGTAGTCTGGTAAATTTTTTGATGGAAATGGTTGTATAACACGAAGAACGTTGATTCTGACCGTACACACACACACACACTTAACCACGATTCGTCTAAATTGATTAACACACCAGCGATGGGAATGGACATAATTGGACAAATCCCAATGTCATAAACACCAACCGCACAAACGACATTCGGTACCAAAGGGCGTCCATATCACTAAACCGTAGCAAACAGCTGGAAAAAATAAACCAACATTAGAAAATAAAGGTGAGCTCTTACTCTTCAGACGATTAACGGCATCAACAATTTCACTAGACTCGATCTCAGAAGCGCGGTTCTGCACGGGGTTTCCCTCGCTGTGTAAGCCATCTTGTTCCAGCAAATCGCGAGCGCCGGTGGAATCTAACTCAGCATCTGTCTTGGGTTCCCGGGGGTAATTAGCGTAACCCTTATCGTGGCTTCCTCTGCTGTCATCTGTACACTCATCCTGTCTAGATCGTTCTTCAACTTCATTCACATCAATAGCAGCAGTTTTGGGAATTGAGACGATCTTGGATTTGAATCGTTGAGTACCAAGTGGCGGAACTGACTCAAACTGCTTGCCAGGGAAAGCGTTAACACCTTTCATAGGTTCCGTTAGAACAGAAGGGAGGAAAACTGTTGGTTTGAGGGAGGCGGCCCGGTCAATAAGACGAAGTAGACGAATAGAAGTAGTGCTCAGAGAATCACTTACAACCAGGACCACGTGACACACGTTGAGAAGGAAAGAGACAAGCTGTGGTGGTAAGACAAACACAAAATAGTCAATGTGGAGCCGTATTGAAGTGAACATGTGATACCTCATTCGAAAGCCCTACGCTGCGCTTCGAACAAGGTGAGAATAAACGATAAAATAACGACACAAAGAATCACAACTGTGAGCACTGGAGGATAACGTTCAGTAAAGAAACCAGTAAGCGGTAGGAAAGAGCGAAAACGGAATGCGAGGATAACAGGGGCAACGTGGACCAGTTTCGTTTCCTTGGTGAACGGAAAGATCAGGATCAAAAGTTAATCATGAGGTGATCATGAGACAAAGTGATCAAACCGATGGATACGCTGAATTCTCGGATGCGAGTGAAGTAGTTGTAAAAACAAAAAGCAGTGAGATTTCGGGATCCGTTTCCATGGTTCCAAATCGCATGGGTAGTGTATTACACTGCATTCCAATCTGAGGGCATAAGTTACGTCCTGACGTCAGATGCACACCAAACAGCTACTTTTGTGCTAGCGCACGCATTCACATCTTTTCTCATTGTTCCATCGTATCCGTATTGGGCTAAGCAGTTGAGATCGTTCATCGTTCACCGTTTGTTGCCAACGTCACCAATGGCGTTAGCAATAAACGGTGATGGCACGCTATGTGGAAAAATATAGGAGCCGATATGGATGCGCAGATGCAAACTTATTCTGTACCTCTACCGCTTATTTACCGGACTAAGCTTTGCAGCTCATCCACAACTGGAGTTCCAGAACCCTAATCCGAACACATGCCGCACACTCAAAAGTTTCGTACCAAGCTCCGATCAAAATTTTTCTCTGAGTTGAAATGGAATAACCTTTCATCGAACATCAGAAACTGCTCCAGATATCTGCTATTCAAACGGATGGTCCAATATATTAGCAACAATTAGCCAAAAGATAATTCTAGATGATTTGTATCAGAAAGGTCCTGGATACACTGGAAAGTTACATTACCCCCTAATTAACTCAATATTATAAGTTTAGCAAAACATAGTTGTACTACTTAGTATGTATGTATAAACCAACTTTGTTCTTATCAATTCTGTACTCTCGTCTAACCAATACCGTTTTCTTTTCCTTTGGTTCACTGTTTCGGAAATGAACTACGTCTTCCAAACTGAAATCTCTCACACCGTCGTCGTTGTTTGCCATAATTTTCCATCAAATTGTGTTTCGTCTGATGACAAAGGATCGTAAACATTATTGTGTTTTAATTTCTTATTTCCTTATTCCACCGTTAGCCCCGAGTGGGCCGATCTCTTATGCAGACAGATTACACGTTCGAAGATAAAAAAAAAAATTATACTCGTGAAAAGCATAGTGCCAATAACTCGCTGGCATGTAACAAAAAGTGCAATACTACTTAGTATGTATGTATAAACCAACTTTGTTCTTATCAATTCTGTACTCTCGTCTAACCAATACCGTTTTCTTTTCCTTTGGTTCACTGTTTCGGAAATGAACTACGTCTTCCAAACTGAAATCTCTCACACCGTCGTCGTTGTTTGCAATAATTTTCCATCAAATTGTGTTTCGTCTGATGACAAAGGATCGTAAACATTATTGTGTTTTAATTTCTTATTTCCTTATTCCACCGTTAGCCCCGAGTGGGCCGATCTCTTATGCAGACAGATTACACGTTCGAAGATAAAAAAAATTATACTCGTGAAAAGCATAGTGCCAATGACTCGCTGGCATGTAACAAAAAGTGCAATACTACTTAGTATGTATGTATAAACCAACTTTGTTCTTATCAATTCTGTACTCTCGTCTAACCGATACCGTTTTCTTTTCCTTTGGTTCACCGTTTCGGAAATGAACTACGTCTTCCAAACTGAAATCCCTCACACCGTCGTCGTTGTTTGCCATAATTTTCCATCAAATTGTGTTTCGTCTGATGACAAAGGATCGTAAACATTATTGTGTTTTAATTTCTTATTTCCTTATTCCACCGTTAGCCCCAAGTGGGCCGATCTCTTATGCAGACAGATTACACGTTCGAAGATAAAAAAATTATACTCGTGAAAAGCATAGTGCCAATAACTCGCTGGCATGTAACAAAAAGTGCAATACTTAAATGATCCACAAGATGGGACTGAAGTTTCGTCGGTCATAAGGTACGCATTAAACAGCCCTTATATTAAAAACATTCGCCAAAAAGGGTGATAGCTTATTGCTTATTTTATCACAGTGGCACACAGGCAGTTGGAACATGGAAGTGCGGGTGGAACCCATTGGGGGAATACCCTGTATGGAAGTAGGTCTCCTGAGGACGGTTCCATGGATGACCGTATTACTCTACTTGAACTTTTGGTTAAATCTGCATTTGTTATTATTCCCAGCTTCTTAATTTCTCCAATACTTCCACATTGCCAATCAGTTGAAAAACCCATTTGGGATCCGTTGTACAAAACATGAACAATAAACTATCTTATGCGATCTCGATGCACAAATTGATCGGTCCACTTAGTTGAACTGTACCTCGCACCAGGAGTAAAAAGTGTATTTAATTATTTAGTTATTTAGTGCACTATGAACATACCCCAATATTCAAATAGGGTATTTTGAAACACGCGTAGTGCGAAGGGTTTGTAACAGGAAAGCTCAAGCGGAACCGCGATTCCCTTTGACATCAATTCGGTCACTGGGACAATATCGGAAATAGATAAACGTTAGGTGTTTCTTACACTCGAAACACCATACTTCAAGATCGGTTTCGTACTCATCATTTGCACTTGTGAAGTAGAGATAGAAGAACTGGGACTCGAAACACAGACTTACGCACAAACGTCAACCGTGTGCCAAAACGTGAACTCCTTGAGTTTCCACTCGTCATTGGGAGGAAATCCGCGTGAAAGCTAGCTTTCATGCTTCAAAAGAATGTTCTTCATTGATATTGTATTATGTGTGATAACCTTAACTGTCTCTTCGTAGACACAAATACTATTGTACACTATAAACATCATGAGTACAGGTTGGGTACAAATGGCGGTGGATAGCTGACATTGGTATGATCACACTAAGTAGGTGCATAAAATGGTGGTTGCATCGAGGACAATATCGGCTGCGCAAACAATAGGCCTCGGTGTATATCAGTCGGTCGACGTCTCGCACCTAGTGATGTAGCACATGCGGTCGTGTGTGCCTCAGCTGAGCCGGTTCGAATCGGTAAATCATCAATGTGCTCGCGAGAGGCCTACATCGAAGGATAACAGGTAACTTGGACGGGAAACAACAGAGCAGAAAACCACATATTGCCCGATTTCGGTTACTGATCTAGGCCGATAATGCTGGCATGTGTGTTGTAACGTCACTACATGAATGACGTACATGAAACTGAGCTTGATAGTTATACAGATAGATAGATAGATAGATAGATAGATAGATAGATAGATAGATAGATAGATAGATAGATAGATAGATAGATAGATAGATAGATAGATAGATAGATAGATAGATAGATAGATAGATAGATAGATAGATAGATAGATAGATAGATAGCCTTTGCCGATTAATATCCCGGCTCTGGCTCTGCCCGACTCAAAGGTTGACAAGGTGCGTACTTGTTGAATGTTGTCACTTCGACTCCTGTCTGCAGGAGTCTGCTACCCATTGATCGGAATTTGGAGTGCACGTCATTGTGACACTGCTGGGTTAAAGGAATGTTTCCACGCCGCACGGATGTGCTAGATCAGCAGAGATATTTCTCACGTCTAACATGCACAACAATGGTGATGATGCGGCATGAAACGAACTACGGTTCAGTCACTACTCAGTGCAAATCTGGCATGTATACTTCCTCTCAGTCATATGAATGATATACATGCCGAATGAGTGTGTGCCGGTTCCAAACCAATCGTGTCGCCCATCTACTAGCCTCGTGGTCTAATAATTTTAGGTTTATACTGGACATGGGGTGTGTGCACAGAGCTGTGGCTGGACCGGCGCGTTAACTATGGCCCGTCTGTAGGTGCATGCGTCGTGTGGGCTATTCGCAGCCAAGCTGACATGTGAATTTGAAAACGGAGAATGTCAACTAAATGTAATCGAGTAACAAACACAAAATCATGGAGGAGAGGCTTTTTGCCGCCCAGAGGAGCGGCGATAATATACAGGAAGTATAGCCCCTATACGTGCCGACGAGTTAGTTTATGAAGGGGGAGTTAAACAAGCCGTATCAGTTCAGCTGTGAAACAACTACGATGTGGCCACCGAATTTCTGTGGATCGAGATAGCAAGATTCGCGTCACCAGGATAAAACAACAGTGAGAAGAGTGGGGTAGAACGCAAAGGTACTGCAAAGAAGGTTAAGGAGGAAGTGAGTAAAACCAATTGCGAAAGGATATTAACAGCTGGACGCAAGAAACTGAATGCCGGAGCACCATAGACTGTGCAATTGCGTCATGTTCGATATGGTCTCCAACCACAGCTGTTCAAAGTCACACTACACTAGACTTCTCTCTGTGGACGGATATAAAAGCAGAGAACAACAAACAAATTGAATGAATTAATGATGTTTTCCAACAGCCACGCGTTTGCACAATTGACAACACTCAGCCAAGTACTGCGGTGATGTATCAGCACATAAGGGTATGAGGATGATAAGCAGAACGCTATGATGCACGAGTTGAGGTGGCTGCAACGAGATCGTATGTGGACAATTTACTCATCAGGGAGATCAGCAAATTAATCGTAAAACTTAGAGAACAAACAAATATGAAGAAGAGCCAAAAGAGTGGGGATAAGCAGAAAAGTTAGTGTGAAGACACCTACCTGGAGAGAAGAGATTTCAGCCCAAACATCCAGTGACCAGTTTCCGGGACCAACCGAGGAATATCCAGATGAATGATCGTCCGCGGTTAGCTGAGTAACGTCCATCCCACTGGTCGCAGAGCAGTTGGACTGAGCGTGGTAGTTGGTCATCGCGAACGACAGAAGTGGCTGTTGAAGGAAAATAATAGATGGAAAAATGACGGAAGCGCGGAACAAAGAGAGGGTTCATTTGAAATTTTTTTCACAATGTCCATGCTATCAGGCTGTGGCGTGTATGCAGCAGGACTGAGTATAAAATCCCAGGTAGGCAAGATAGGGTGACCCCCGAGATCCAAGGGTAGTCCAGGAACGACTGATCGGACGATTGGGTCAAAGGCTACAAGAAGTCACGAAATCGAACCATGACAGTACAAGTGAGCTGTGAAGTTAACGCCTAGAAGGGAATAAGCATTTTTCACATTGGGCGGTGGACAGTGTCATTCATTAAAAAAACATCCTCTCTAGATTACTTTAGCTCATCCTCTCTAAAGTTCACTTTGCCAAATAAAGAACCACGTTGTCGGTCACTCTTCCACCAAAATACTAACTCTGATTTTAGGAATTGAGTCATAATGTACCGAATAGTTTGCCAAACTCAGTAGCCAACTACACGTCAGGTCACTCAATGTACTTACGCTCAACTGGATTAACCAATATTTTTTAAAACATGCGCTGCGCCCTCTAAATACTATAGCAACGTCTTAACTAGTATCTCAAGATAAGTACGACTGCCATGTCTCCCGGGGTTAGAATCGAGCGAGTTCCTAAAAGCTGCGTTTTCAGTCCGCTAGAAACATACAGTAGGCCGGAGAGTATAAAAACGCTGTACCAATGCGTGCGCATGATTGTTGTAGTCGGTGGTGTAATTGTTGTTTGAACAACGCTTTTTATTCCGTTCCAGGCGCGCAATTACAACCTACAGACAAGTTCCGGTTTACAGACAGTATGCTGCTCCGGGTACTCCAAGACCCAATAATGAACATCTAACCGTTGTGTCAAGTCCCGCTCGCGGAGCTCTGGCTTAGTGACCAAGGGGTAAGTCGTCAACTCCTATGTGTCAGGTTCCACTATCAGCTCAGGTTACCTCCACCTGAAGAGCATAAATCTGCACGAAGCCCGTTGGCCGTGGAATGCAGTGTTGAAAGAAAGCAGCTCCGAAACTATCCACTTCGGATGCGGTCCCAGTGATCGAAATGGTAGAGGTTTGCTTCGAAGTAAACCGTGACCTCAACTGAGATTGCGTGCTGCAATCCAGACATACGGCGGATACCTCAAGACTGGACAATGAACTAAGAACTGGTTCATTTACCGGTTGTAAAGTGGTATAAAGCTCGACGTAAACACAAGTTGACTTGGTGACGAAAAATAAAGTCACTGATGAGCAAACTGGGTGCTGTTGGTCCGTCTCGCCTTCTTGAATGGAGTCCACGTGACCCGACTTTTGCATGGATTGAGAAGTTACGGAACATGGTTCCCAGTCGACAGCAGTGGCGCGCTTGCTATCATCCCCTATTCCGACTGTCTGTCTAAACTGAAAATAGTGCTAATAATGGTGCGGGCCAGGGAAAGCCGCAAGAAGACTGTCTCACCGATGCCACCTTAGATTCGGACGGTAGCTAGCTGTTTGCGCCTGTACGTTGGGGAAAATGTATAGGCGACTCGGCCCTGAATGTTTACTAAAGGGATTTGAATTTTACGCAAACTCCCTTCTCATCTCCTGCCCAGTATTCTTCGTTCCTTAGGCCACTGTGATTGTACGGGAGCGAAGCATCAGTCGGATGGTTGATGTATTGATGTTGATAACAACGGTGTCGATGACGTATATATACTACTCAATTGTATTGTCGGTTCTTCTATACGATGAAACGGATGCCATACAAAAGACATCTCATATCTGGGACGCTTGCATCAGCAACATCTGCGTCGGTTCTGCTCATCCGTTGGTTGGTTAGCCAAACAACCCCACCCCCAAACCCGTAGTTGTTCGCAATTATCCCGTTCCAGCAAATAGTTCGTCGATAGTACTCCAGGACGCGGTGGGTTTCCTACTAACAAGCGTTCTCCTTAGAAGCTACATATGTCTGTTTAAAAACACTACGATGTGGTGGATGTGACCCGTTACTAACTAAAGTCAATGCTACCTGTTTATCCGGATAAGTATATCCACTCGATGGACGTCAGTCCCCCACTGGCGACGAGATCAAAAATGCAGCGACACACTTACAAACATATATATATATATATATATATATATATATATATATATATATATGGTTGGCGGCATCCGTTTCCGGACACATGCGCCTACAGAAGGGTCAGAGGTGGCTTGGGCTGTACCACCTACAGCTCTAACCACATACCCATATCCAGTGTAAACCCGAAGGAATATGACCGGGAGGCATGTGGATTGGAGCCACGTTTCATCAACATAGCGTGCCCACACTCCTTCACACGCAAACACAAGCACGCTGGATTTGAGAATCAATCGCACACAACGAGGTTTCTGGACCGTAGTCCGCTCCACACTGAGTGCATGGAACCATTCTTCGAGTCTAGCACGACCACAAGGTCCGTGCACCCCGTCCCCTCCAGCAACGACCAACTGTTTCCTGGAGCCAGCATGGAGGTGGTAATGGGTAATAGACAGGTAGGCACCTTGTCCACATGCACATCAAGCGCAGCCACACCGGGGATATCAATTGACAACCAATCACTAGAAACGACAGTATCAAATAAAATAAATCGAATAATGCATACTGATACGGTGACATAACTCTTCACCAAATGAGCATTTGAAATAGATTGGTTACGAACGAATTTTCGCGATAAGTTCAATATATCATAAAATATATTTTAAGAAAATGCCTCAAACGCGAAAGTGTTACCGGAGTTAACTAAATTAGTTTAAGGAACGTGTGCAAGTTTGTAGAAGATAGTTCAGGCAGACTTTAGTATGAGATAAAAAAGCACTAGGACAATATAGGAAATCCACCACCTGAAATAAAGAGACTCAGCATATAAGTACGCGGTTAGTAAATCGAGTGCAGCGTACCCATCAACGCTGCGCCGGTTCTGCCTGCGTTCTCAGCAGGACGCATCGTCGTTGCGGTAGTGGCCCCGAGTGGCCTCGCTCATGGCTCACTAGTGCTGCCTGACTCAAGCACTCGCGACCGCATGTGCTACAGCACCATGCACTCGATGTCAATGGAATACAACCCGTCGTCGCCTGCCGCTTCCGCACTTGCCGCTTCTTCTCTGCATGCATGAGGGCTTTCTCTTGCATTTCGACAACGGCTTTCGTGCTCAGATCGCGCCATGCACGCCCATCAACCGCTTTCGATTCCCATGACCTGCAATCATGATTCGAACGTGAGAGGCTCACTTTGATCATGTCCTGGCAACGAAGCTTCGGTTTTCCCACATGCCGCTTTCCCAAACTCAGCTGACCAAATAATAGTCGCTTCGGTATCCTCGTGGAATCCATAAGCCGCGCATGACCGAGCCACCTAAGGTGTCTCAGTAAAAGTATGCAGTCCATTGCATACATTCCACTTCAGCGCAACACTTTCGTGTCCGCAACCCTGTCGCACCAACCAATGCGCAGAATCCGTCGCAAACATTGTTGATGGAACCGTTCGAGATATCGCACATCGCGCCGGTACATCGTCCAGGTTTCGCTGCTGTATAGAAGAACGGACAGCACCATGGATTTGCACACCATCAGCTTGGTGCTAACGGTAACCTGATGGTTGTTCCACACTCGGTACTCTAGCTTCCCGAATGCCGCCGCTGCCTTCGACACGCGGATACGAACCTCACTGTGTAGCTTCTGTTCAGTCTACATCATACTCCCAAGGAAGCAGAAGCGAGAGGTGGTTTCTAATATTTCAGCACCAATGCTGATTCGCGGCAATATTGAAGATTGCACCTCCGGTGAAGGCTGAAAGGGGCAGACAGTTTTGCTTGTGTTGATGACGAGCCCGAATTTGGCCACTGTTGAAGCCAGGGCAATAGTCATGTGCTGCAACTCATCCGCGCTGTGTGCAAACAACGCACAGTCGTCAGCGAACAGCAACATACGGATAGTTGTCTCACAGACTAGAGTTCTCGCACCGAAACGACGGATGTTCAGCAACCCACCATCAATACGGTGCTTCCCACGAACACCGTAAGCGCAAGACGCATCAAAAGCACAAGACATCATTGCATGAATATGTATATTAAACAGGGTAGAAGCTAAGACACAGCCTTGCTTCACACCAGTGACAACTGCAAAGTCATCCGAGGTCTCTCTACTGAGCTGCACTCTTACCCGTATACCACTGTGAAGACATACAATTAAACTTACAAACTTACGCAAACAATCAAACACCAGCCACAATGCCTCGCGGTTCACCGTATCAAATGAATTGGTGAAACCAACAAAAAGCGAGTACAACCGCTGGTGTCGTTCTCTGTACTTCTCCTGCAACTGACGAGCTATAGCTGTAGTGCTTCGAACCGAACGAAATCCACACTGCTCTTCCGCCACGTTCAATTCCACAACCTGACTGACGAGGCGGTTGAGTAGGGTTCAGGCAATCAACCTGCCCGCACAACTCAGCAAATTGATGCCACGATAATTCGTGCAACATTGTTTGCTCCCTTCGCCCTTGTACAGTGGTAGCACAAGGGTGTCCTTCCGTTCAGTAGGCATCTCCTCCTGAATCCATACGCGCTGCACCAAGTGTTGCAGCACAGTCACCAACGCAGGTTTGCCGTGTTTCTATACTTTCGTCCAGACCCCGTCGGCACTGGCACACTTGCCATTTCGCAGCTGAGGAAGTGCTCTCTGCGACTTATCCAGTGTCGGCGTGTCTGCCAGACTCGCCTTTACATCGTGATGCTTCAGACCGTTCAAAGTAGGCCAGTCGATCCCTGAAGAGTTGTTCAAGAAACAGTCAAAATACTTCCTCCAGATCTGTATTAGGTCTGCAGTCTGCGTGCATGATCAGCATCCTCAGCCGCTCCAAACTCAGTCCATACACCACCTTCAAGGAGTCAAAGAATTCCTTGTGTTGGCGACGTTCAGCGTAGCATTCCATCTACCTCGGCTTATCCGTCCACCATGCATTTTTTAATGCAACGGA